CTACATTAAAAATAAGAATTTGGTGAAATTTCTCTCTATTATGATAGACATTACCAGATTACATATATTTTTCATAAATATTTGTTGAAGAATATGAACAGCCTATAGAGCAATATACTTTTTTAGCTTTGCCTACAGAGCAATATACTTTTTTAGCTTTGCCTACAGAGCAATATACTTTTTTAGCTTTGCCTACTGTAAATATATTCAAAACATTTACAAAGGCCTAAAGTTGGGGAAAACCATTCAATAAAAGGCTTATTTTATAATCAAGTATTGAATATCTCATCATTTATGTAGTATAGCACACTGCAGAGAACATTTTTGTTGACGTAGGTTGGTGATCACCGGAAGCCATAGCCTTCTGAGGCTCTTTGACATCCAGAAAGAGTATGGCACTATACATCACCACCTCAAACAAAGAACAAACTGTGAAATTCAAGACATGGTTTCTACTAGACACATTTCAGTTTTGCACAATTGTAAAGTGGAGCAATCATGTCCAAATATTGTAACGGCTATCTGTATAAATATTTGTAAAATTAAACAAAATATATATAAAATGTAAAAAATGCCAAAGTTTAATATCAAAGTTTAATGTGAACTCAATCTCATAGGTGTACTTGTGGGTATATTTATGTAAAGCATGAAGTTTTGTTTGACTTGGAAAGTGTTTGATAAGTTTAATTATTAAGTATTTGCCACCATTATGATAAATATACAGTACGGTCCCACATTATAATATATATGCCGAAGTAGTAACTTTTGGATATCTGTTCCAAAGAAAGAGTATCTGAGAAAATAAAATTTACAGAACTTCTTGAAAATGAGAAATCCTAACAATGAGTTAGGATCATAACCCGAGATTAGAGAACAATAGCCAAATTCAAAATACTTTGCACTGATAATCTTCAATCTGTTTAATTTTTAAAAAAAGCCCAAAATATTGACCTAATATCTTAAAGAAGTGTATAATATTTTATAAATTCTGAATTCAATATCACATAAAACTACCAGAAGAAAAATTTAAATTCAGTCAAATTTGGATAACATTATATATTCAGATATGTGCTTATTATTAAGACTCTTGCTCTTAAAAAGGAAAATTGAAATCTTGGGGGCCATTAGTACTCAATTATCATTACAGAAAAACTTTTTGCACAAAAAATGTGTGTAATGGTTGATACATTGTGTCAATGTGAGATGTTTAGAAGTTTAACTAAGCAATTCAGCAGGGGTCCAGGGTTCTCACTTTGTAAACATCCTCATCCTGGGCAAGAGGAAGGCATGAATATGATGTGAGTGCTACACCCACCTAGGGTGGACAGCCTCTATACAATATAAGGGAGGACAAGAGGCTTGCTCTGCCCTCCTTTTCGCTCCTATTGCTTTTGCTGTCTCCTGCCATCTTGAAGTGTTGCCCCTGTGCCATGCCACTGGGCTTTGGAGCCAGGTGATTACAGACTAAAACTTCTACAAACTCTGAGCTAAATAAACCTTTCCTTCCTTAATTTTGGGTGTCAGGTATTTTGTCTCAGTGATGAGAAAAAAGTAACCAAGACAATATGTAAGTAAATTTTTCACATTTCATTTATAAATATTTTTCATTGTTGCAAAATAAATCTGATTTCAGGTTATAGCACCTTTATTCTCTTAAACTCTAAATTATTAGGAATTTATAGTTAGTATATGCATATATCCTTTTAGTTTTGTACATAAATATGGTATCAGAAACATGTAGGTCTTACAGAATATCTGTGCATCTATATTGCAATTTTTTATATATGCAAGTTATATGTGTGCATATATATTATATTAAGAGGATCATACAAGATAAATATGTGTATACCTTATAACATTTCACATATATCTGCCATCATTTTAATACTATTCAAGCAAAATTCTTCATCAACCAATAATTCTTAATTTGGAGATGTGGCTCCTTTAGTTCCAACTGATGGGGCTTCAGAGATTTATAAAATCTTTAAAAATATATAAAACCTGTGAATATTATTCTCGTGAGTTCATGATACGTGAATCTTCAGCTTGCCTGAGGTTTAATAACAAATATTCAAACCACGGCTGAGTGGTCGTGGAATAGAGACGTTTACACACCATGACATGCTCTCTGCTTTTATAGCCCAACTTTTCCACATGGCTGAATAATCTTCTTTGGGCTATTTAATAGCTCTGAGCTTCAATTTCCTAATCTATAAAATATACATAATAACAATATATACTTCACAGTTGAATTTACAATGAAGTTAATGGAGCCTAAATTTGAGGTCCTGCTGTAGCGTTCACATGACAAGATGTTTTCATTTAATTTGCAAAATTGTGTATTCCTTTGAACAAAGCTTCTCTCTGAATTAGGTAGCTTCACACCCTGTCAAAATACGGTCTTTCTGTTGTTTGCCTCAGTAATTATTCTGAAGATTAAGTTAAATAATAAATATACAGCTCCTAGACTATGCCTAAAACACAGAAAATATTAGATTGTTATTGATTATCATTATTATTATTATCAAAAAGGGAAACAATTTGTTTTTATTTTTCAATTGCTATATACAGCTGGATAGTTCCCATCTAGACAGTATGAATTAGAGTTATTTAAGGAGGAGGTTAATATACTAAGTTATCTCAGTAAATTTGGAAAAAGAAACATACTGATGTATTAGATTTCTTGATGCATACTGAGAAAGAGGGTACATTTTAGTATTTAATCAAGACCACGATTACTGACACAAATCAGGACATTTATTTAGAAAATATGTGATATGATGCAGAGAAAAATTTCCTAAATGAAATCCCACACAATTGTCAGCTGGCTGTTACAAGACCGGATGAGAACTCAAATGAATTTTACAAATCTTATCACATCTATACAGAATCAACCCAATTGTTAAGGATTTAACAATGTATACAGATATGGACATGCAAGTTTCTCAGTCATCATTTTGCAATTTGGAATCTGTTTTACATTCATAAGGTAAGTCATTATGTATGGTACTTATTTACAATTCATAATACAATTGTCATTGCATGATTTAATCACATACAGTACCTAGAAGTTAACAGATAGGAGCTATTTCTATGAACTATTATTAATCACACAAAATGCCACAGTAAATAGTATTGATATATGATCAAGCTGTTCAAGATTATACATTGAATTTTCTTATATAATATATACTAGTTATGAATAAAATTTGTCCACCAGGAAAACATGATTTACATTTCAAGTAATAGGGGCTTGCATATTATATCTCATTGAATCAGTGAGTCAATATAGGAAGTTATTTTATGCTTTAAAATAAGACAAATTTAAGGTAAATATGCTACAATTTGCCACAGGAAAGAACAGAATTTTAAAGCAATATTGATTTGTGCACATATTAAATTGCTCTTGAGTCACTTTCATGAGATGGATGCATGTTTCTGTGAATATATATACATTATGTGTTATAATGTAAAGTTCTGTTCAGAGAAAAATGCTTAGCTTTTCTGAGTCAGTCATGAAATAGTGTAATGAATTAGCTGAGCAGCAGTAAGAGTGGACCAATTAATTCTGCTCTGCTCAATAGGAACAGAAAAGTTAGTCCATCCTTTTCCAGTACTCTGTTGAATAGTCATAATCATAGTGCCATTTCCTGTTTGGAGCCGTGCCCATTTAATAACACCGAATTAGTCACCAGGTTCTTTGCATTGCTTTTCAGAGACGTCATACGCACTGCTGAAGAGCTGAGTAGGTAGCTGGTGGATCTCTCTGGATAGGGCTTCTTTTCACAACACAACTGGCTGTTGAAATGCTTCCTGAAGCTTTCACTGAGTAGATAAAGAGCAAATGGATTGACACAAGAATTGGAAAAGCTCAGAACCCGGGCAACTAAGGTGACAATCATGTGGCCTAGAGATGGATCAATCTCCTTGTAGTTGAAAGACCGATACATGTAGAGGACGTGATTTGGAAACCAACAGAAGATAAAGCAGAACACAAAGACGAGGACAATTTTAGCCAAGCGTTTCCGTGTTTCCATCTGTAAAGAGAAGGAAATGATTTCCTTGCTTAAAATGTTTGGAGCCAGCCAAGTCCAAAATTTATCATCTCACAAAAACAGTGAAATTTGTAGCATGAAAATTCATCCGAAACACATAATTATTTTCCTTAAAAAATGACTATTTTAATAGTTTGATGAAGCCTATTTTGTCTGCTGTACTAATTCCATTTTAAACTATTTAATAGTTTATGCAAGACTGGATGGTAAATTATTAATAAGTGGCCACCCATTCATGTTAGAACTGTGATCTTAAAATATTGTCAAATTTTAAATCTACTTTTCTTCTGCTTAAAGTCTCATTATGTTCAGTAGAAATAAAATTCATTTGCCTGTCAATTAAGCGTACTAATTTAATGAACCAGAATACATTCGTGCTTAGGTTTGTTGTTGTTTTTTTTTTTTTTAATAAGGACATTTTAAATAAGAACAATTGATCTGTTAAAACAGACCTTCACTTTTTTAAATCTTACTACACACACACACACACACACACACACACACACACACAGCACTTGAGATTTAAATTCTTGACACATAAACCAAAAGGAGTTTCTAGAACTGAACATTGTTAATATTTTTATGCTGGGTTACATTTACAAATAAAAATACATTTTCTTTCTTTCATAAAGTTTACATACTGTGTTTACTGCCTTATAAGATGAGCTTTAGGGATTTGATAGACAAAATTCAAATATCCAGCACTAATGTTTGCAATCTGAAAATAATTTTCTAACATTTGCCCTCCAAAATTTAGCTTATATTTTCCCAGAACACTGAAATATTTACATAAAGCAACACAAATGTAAAAATGTAGTATCAAGTGACACTAACAGTAGTTATCATGATATTTTCTGAGATCATCAAGTAAAACATTCCAGAGAAAACTGGAAAAGTTTTAGGAATGGGCCTAGGTGATATCAGGGAAAAGAATTTAGCAGTCCAGATGTAACCCGTGACGTAAGTCAGATAACCCGGCTGTATTAGGGAGGTCACTTGTGAAATTTGTTAATTACTCAACAGTATCCTTCCTAAGCAGGTGGAGCATGGTTAGGAGAGTTTCATGGCAGTCTATAGCTGAGATCCCAACACAGAGTCAGGGTGGTAGCTTTCAGAAGACTTCTTCACAAACGTCAAGACAGAGTTCATAGATACCAAAGAGAAATTAACAAAAACAAGGCAGAACCAAAGCCACGAGGAAAACAAGTAAGAAAAGGAACTCAACTTTAGAAACCAATAGTCAAACTTTAAATCTCTAAATTGAATCACAAGATTCTATGTTTTAAAAAACTGTATATAAAAATAGCAAAATGAGCCTACAGCCTGAATGTTTGGCTTCAGTAATGCCAGATATTTGGAAAAAGAATCCATTAATTTATCCAAAAATGTCTCTGAAGATTGGTTGACTTTTTTTAATCTTAAAAGCAGATGTGAAGCTTGGATGTCTATGGTTCTCAATTAAGGGAAGTTACCTTCCATGCAAGAAAACTTTATCAGGTTCTACAGTTGTTAAAGGGCCTAAGGATGCAGACTTTTACTATATTTTCATCCAAGTAACTTTTCTCTTTGCCTCAAATTTACTGCCCTTGGCTTCCCTGCACCAACAGAACCATTTGGAAGTTCTTTGCTAGGAATACCCAAGTGATAACTACGCATTTTCCCACAAAAATACTTTTCCTATCCCTTTGTAGATCAACACAATTAGTTTTACCTGAAATTAATACTGCCTATTCTTTAAGCACGGAAAAATATATAAATGGGAACATTATACATTTGCAGTAGGCCAAGTATTTGCAACATCAAGCCACATTGGGATCACACTCATTCAATTTTTTTTTGCTTTACTTTTCCAGGACCTCCCTGTCTGGTATTCTATCTAAGCCTTGTTGTCAGATCCCAGGCAATGCCCTAAGATATTTCCTCTTGCATCCTTCTGCCTTACTCTGTTGCTCTTATTAGGACAGTAGGAAAAGCAACAATGATTTAATAAATTTATATTTAATATGTGAAAATGTCTGGTTTATGATGTTGATCTTTGCCTACACAATTGCATGGGAATAAAAGTCTTCAGATGCATTAAATTTCTCATGGTGGAATTCCAGGTCTCAGTAGAGGCCCAGATGTCAGATAGGCAGGACTTTGCAGAACTTTCAGCACCCCTCTGAGTTAAGACTAGGCAAGCCCAATGCTCCTTACCGTTCATAGGATGGAAACCCAGAAAATAGACTGCGGAATTTGTTACTGGTTATGAGCAGTATACTCCCCCACTGCCACACACACACACAGACACACATGTACACACATGCACACATCTACCAGGCTTACCTGTTTTTTGCTATGTTCATTATATTCCCCAGGAAGATTATGTGCACTTTTAGTTAAAGTCCTTGCAATGTGATAATAATAAATGCTAATAATAACAAGTGGTATGAGGAAATAGACCAAAAAAATGAGCACCGAATGAATCTTTGGATGTAATTCATCTGTCTGAGGGTAAGGTAAGCATGCTGTGAAGCTGCTGTTATCCAAGCTTCCAATATGTGCTACTTCTGAAAACACAGCTTCAGGAACTGCCAGCAGCACGGAGACCACCCAGATACCTGCAGCCTTCACACAAGTCCACATCACCGCACCTGACATCTGCATGTCCATGGGGTTGACGATGGCCCTGTACCTAGGAAGACAACATGTCCCAGGTTACTATTTTGAAAAGAAAGAGAGAGAATCCTTACTCAGTAAGAGAAATGCCAACACTTTCTTATTCCCTGGTCTTTTTGCAGCTTCAGAAGACCTCACATCCTTGGGATCTCTCTCTATTAATAAGTAATTTCACTGCTTTTGGCACAAAATACAGGAAGTGAAAGGAAAATTGTATAAATTGACATTGCCCAAATTGCAGTCATTTGTTTACCTTTTTCATAGATATTTTTCTAAATCTACACACACTGCTAAATGTAATTTATTGAATTTTTATTTAAATAATTTTGTTGCTAAGAACTTTATCATTATCATAATCACTGGGAACAAACATTAACTGTAAAATATTAAAAGTCCACAATATGACACAACTAAATCTAATGACATCCTCCTACATGTTCTAAGCTTGATGTCTCCTACTTTCCTAATAAATCTTAGATATTCATCTAACTTGGAATTTTCATAAGAACTGGAAATGAAATAGTATTCGTGGTAAAGGACCCACACTCCAGGACAGAAATTTTAATCTAAAATTCTACAGCTAACTCAGTCACACAGTAAGTAAAATAATGAAGACGCAAGCAAACACAAATTGTACGTGACCCTCAAATTACTTATATTTGTCTTCAAATAGGTAACAAAATGAAATCAGACAAAACTGAGCTGTCATTTCTGATGTCTTTGTGGAAAATCTGGCTTTTTTTTTATTTGTAAAAAATATAAACATTTTATGCTCCAAGATTTTTTATATAAGAAAAAGTTTAGAAGATCCTCACCTTGCCAAAATACCACCTTATCCTTACACACACTTAAACTTATCTGATGCTCTAAAAATTCAGAATATTTCTTCTTTTTATTCTTCAGACAAGGTCTCGCTATGTAATTCATCCTGGCCTTAAACTTGCTATGTAACCCCGGCTTCCTGAGTTCTGGGATTATAAGCATGTGCCACCATGCCTAGGAAAATTCAGGCTACTTCAAGCCACTAGATACCAGTTAAGGTCTTTTTCTGTGAATCCGTGGAAAGTCTTCCTATTTCTCCCTGGAGATGTGCAGCTCACCTCCTCATGCTCACTCCAAAGGCAGCCTCTCTCTCTCTCCTGATTTGTCCCCAGTGCTATTTTCAGATCCTTCATAGGGAAGGGAAATTCATGTTTGGATCTTGGAAATATAGGAAGTAAGGAAGATGAAAGGGGCTTCACTGCAAAATTTAGCATGTACAAAACCTCTCTTCTAGGTTTCCCATGTGGTAGAACTTAATAGGCAGGTATTCCCTTCCTTATTCTTCTTTATCACATTCTTATGAAAATGAAATTGGAATTAATAAGCTACAATGCTATATTTTATTTTTAATCAGATTAATGTACTCACAGTTTTTTAAAAAATCTGTTTGAGTCTTGTAAATAAAAATAAAAACCTCCATTTCACCTCATATCTTTTTCATGAATTAGAATAAATTCCATATCATTATCTCTATATTTCACAGAAATGTAGTTCTACCACTGTTTCTTTTTTTTTTTTTTTTTTTTTTTTTTTTTGGTTTTTCTCCGGTGCCGGGAACCGAACTCAAGACCTTGCGCTTGCCAGACAGGCGCTTTTGCCGCTGAGCTAAATCCCCAGTCCCATCTACCACTGTTTCTTGAACAAATATAAATATTAACTATTGACATCTTGTTATGTCAGCTGAAGATTTTTCTGTCTTTACTTACTATGGCACTTGCTCCAATGCCCAAAGTCCTGATTTCATTATTTAAATTGTGTTTAAGTATAGTTAATTTATAATTATTGAGACTGAAATATTATGTACCATAGAACTCAGCAATATATTATGATGATATTCTAAACACACCTGATTTTCCAAGAGTCAATATTTATTTTTTTACTTGCATAATTTTCTATCTACCTGACTTTGTGTGTGAAATGTTTCTTTATCATCAACCTGGATAATTAGAAACCCAATTCTTGAATCTCAGTGCTTTACTGAGCATAGTGCCACCCACCTGTAATCCCAGCACTCAAAGAGCTGAAGCAGGAGGATCGGTGCAAATTTGAGGCCAACTTGGGTTACAAAGTGAGTTCAAGACCAGTCTGAACTGCATAGTGAAACCCTGTCTCAGTATTTTTTGGTAGGGGGTTGGTACTGGGAATCGAACTCAGGGCTTTGCACTTGCCAGGCAGGCACTTGTGCCTCTGAGCTATATCCCCTGCCCAGAAACCCTGTCTCAAAAAGACAAAAAAAATTTAAAAATGAATCTCAGTGTTTCTTTTTTAGCCTCACATTTACAAAGTATTTCTACAAATTCTTTGGTTTACTTTCTAAACCAATTAGTTCTTTTTCATCCTTTTTATTTTTTTTGTTTCTGCTTTGATGTTTCTGTTTTTTAAAACATTTTCTTCCTTTCAAATCATTCCTTTTCCATATTATTCTATTCTTCTGATATGCATTGGCATATTACCTATGGAACTAATAGCGAAATAGATTAATCTTCTCTTCTAGCATAGTTCTAGGTTTTTTTGTTTTTGGTCTATTTGTACTGGAATTTCTTCCACAGTGTTAGATAATTGTTGATTGATAACTCCTAATTAAGTGCAAAGTACTGAAAGGCTGATTGTTTTTATTGTTATGTTGATGTTTATAAAGGAAGGATAGATAGATGATCACTAATAATAGATAAAGCTTTGTTTTGAAATTATTAAAAAATCACAAAGGGCACTCTAAGTTTCCCCCATGTATTTACAAAGGAAAAGGAAAATGTAACTTATCTATCCAACATCTAAGCACATACCATTGCAGCTACTAAAAGAGACTTAAGATTACCCAGGACTACTTTTTTACTTGAGACTACTATAACAAAATACTCAAGACTAGGTGCTTTATAAACATGACACATTTTTTTTTTCACAACCACGGAGAATAGAAAACTTGAGATCAAGGTGCTAGCAAATTTGATGTCTCATGAAGGTCTCATTACTGATACATGAATGGAACCTTCTCACTATCTTTCCATGCAATGGAACCAGTAAGGTCTTCCTGCAGTTTATTTCTGAGGGCACTAATCTTATTCAGAAGGGCCCCATTCCCATGAGCTAATTACCTTCTAAAGTCCCCATTACCTAAAAATATCATCTTGGGAATTAGGACTTCAAATTATGAATTTGGAGAGGACACAAACGTTCAGACCATAGTCGGCAGAATAGGCAGTATAATGACAATAACAATGTTGAGAAGTTTCAGATAATAAATTCTGGTAATATTTCCAGCAACAGATACAAAATGCTTGGTTTAGGGAAAGTGAGAAACGTAGCAGGAGAGTAGGAAGAAGATAAGGAAGACCTCATCAACAGGGAAGCTTTTGAGCTACCTCTTGAGAATGGGAGGCCAGATCCCAATAATAGTCAGAATACACATTTGAATAAAAGGGTGCTACTGCAAATTCTACAAAACCAGAAGTTAGAGTTGAATGTAAGCTTACTGAAGAGTCAGTATTGGTACTGAAACATAGCTTACAATTATCAAGTACGTTATAATGAACCTCTATTGTATGTGTATTTTTGGAAGGTTATAAAGCAGAAAGTAAAGCCATCTAGGGCCTACTAAAGTAGGCATATTTTATTATGCTTCTTTTTTTGTTTTTTTAGTTTTTTCTTCTGGTAATGGGAATTGAACTCATGACCTTGCGCTTGCCAGGCAGGTGCTTTGCCACTGAGCTAAATCCCCAGCCCCTTATTATGCTTCTTTTTCAAATATTTATATAAAATGTGGGGGCTGCCTCTTAGCATTAAATCTATTTAACTTGACACTGTATCATAACAGGGTACATTTGAAAATTGAAAACAAAAGAATGATCAAAGGCAAAAGCATCTCTCTCTTCACGTATTAAGTATAAATAATTAGATATATTTCTTCACCAACTCTCATTTTGAATCTTCCTATGGCATTTGTGTGTGGTCTAGATTTCATTTTAAGAGATAAATAAATTTAATCATAATACAAAATGAAGTAGACGATTAGATCATTTTTCCTTTTAAAAAATGATCATATCTCAAAATCTCTACCTCTACATTTTCACACACATTTTTAGTTACAATATCCATACTTTTTTCTTATTAAACTTTATTGTATCATGCAAGGAATAAGCCAGAAAAAAATAATCCAAGTGTAAAATATATGAAAATAGAAGAAAAACTCTTGCTTATTACTGCATCTCTAATAAACAACATAATGCCTGGCCCACAGTAGATTCTCAATAAAGAGCTGTTGAACTAATGAAGAAAATATGGCCTAAGTAACTAAGACATCACTTACTACAAGAAATTGTGAGTGCATGGGGTAGGAATTTTTAGATACTAGATTGAGACAGGAATGATAGTAAGAAATAGAGACAGACTCTAGTGTTGCTCAATATACGCTTATTTTCAGAATGACCCAGAGAACAGGGAAAAAATAGATCTAAATAACTAAATAAATCTAAATAAGTTCAATAATGCAGAATATTTATGATATCAAATGCAAGGTTCTACACTGACTAAAGTCTTCAGGGGATCCTGAATATCAGTTGAGTTTACAAGCAATTTCTCGGGAGGACTGAGTGCAGCGGTGCTCACCTTTGCCACAACTGTATGTTGTGCAAGGCAACGGGTGCATTTTCAGTACTTGCACAGAAAGTATATAAAATCCAGCAACCATTCAGGATTTAAAGAATCAGCTCCCTCCTCTTACAATATGCCATGTCATATTGAAGGCATTATTCTTACTTTGCAAGGAGGAAAACACTGCCATGTGATCTGCACTGTTTCTGTCATCTTTCTCCAAGTAAAACATCTGGAAATAACAGATGCAGGGTTAGTGACCAGATGCCATAAATCCAGCCTGGTGCATTCATTGCCTCCTTTTCTGGAGTGTGCCCACCAGGTTCTACACTAAAGTGCATGAATAATCTTCAAAATCCACAACGTAAAATCTAAAGGATAGCAATATTATAAATACTGTGAGAATTACATAGCACCTTTCTAGGTCAAACTGTGGTGTTTCTAAAGATGAGAAAGGGAAATAAACTAAAAATGGTTGAGGTTAATGAGAAAGACATATAACTTATTGTAAACAAATGCAACAACCTTTATTTAATGACAAATCAATAAGTGAGGTGTAGAATTATAATTCACTCTGTTTCTATGTTTATATAAATATAACAATGAATGCTTATTACGGAAAGCAAGTTTACCTTTTTGAATCTGCTACTAGAAAATTTTCAGAAAACTCTATTATTCACACTTTGTGAAAATATGGGTTACCTTACGTTTTTCAACTTTTAAGTTCTTATCCCTGATTTCTTCCACTTTTTTGTCATTCCTGTAACACATATTTGTATCTTTATTTTTCAGCTACCTTAAATTCCTCTGGCACAACTTGAATATAAGCAAGGGTGACCGTACTTCAAGTAGAAGAGGCAGCCCTCCTTTATCACTACAATTAAAACTATCAATGCTATATTCACACAGCACATAATAAGCATATGAAACCAATAAGTACCTAAAATATATGAGGACTAGCATTGTTCTGATGTTGACTGGGGTATATTTAGCTGTGTATCTCCATGAAAATAGGTTAAGGAAATTTGTGTGAAATAAAACACTGGATCTTACTAATAATGCCATGTTTTAAAAAGTAAAGCATAATGATAGTAATTTTGACTGTTATGATAACTAATCATTCAGTTTTACTCTAGTCACTGAATGAAATTTTTTAGCTATCTAATTAAAATGAGTCTCTAAAGCAGAGTAGCTAAAATTAAAAGTCACATTTTGGTTTTGTTATTCAAAGACAACTTTTCAAATACTGACAGGAACAGTGCCATGTACACGAAATGAGATGCATAATTCACACAGAAGTCATCGAATTTTCTAGGAAAGTAGTTTTAGAGAGTATACGATATGAACTAAAGTGAGTGAATCACAGTTAAAAAGTAAAAAATTAACCTCTCCACTGAATTTAGTCATTCCTTCAACAAAGGTTAACTCTTCAGTGCCAAAGCAGCATAAGACTGGAGGGGCTGGGGATTTAGCTCAGAGGCACAGCGCCTGCCTGGCAAGTGGAGGGACCTGAGTTTGGATCCTGGTACCAGAAACTCCCCCACCCCCAAAAAGAAAAACATAAGACTGGCATTGCAAATGCCAGGACCTTTAAGTCCAGACTCATTTTTCATTAGTAATTTGTAAATTAAAGACAATGAACACCACCTTAATTATCCCAGTTAAATTGTTTACCTAAATAGCTTGCTGCTCCTCCATTCCCAGAGAAATTAAACCACCACTTGATATAATGATACCTAATTGTATATATTTCCTGCAATCCTACCCACACATCACCCCACACCCAGCTAATTGTCCAAAAGCACGGCTGCAGAGAGTCTGGATCAATGGTACTGGACCCTGAATTGGGAGGCTTGGATCTTTCTGTTAGCCTTTCCAGGAGGATTTACATTCCCTGAGCTTCAATATCAATACCTGAAAAATCACAAGGTTGAATAGACTAAACGGCTAGGTAGAATAAAGGACTGCACATTGCTAGAACAATGATAAGCAGATTGGATATCAATGGTGCACCTCTACAGCATTATTTGAAGATACTAAAATTTAGTTTCTATCTGTGAAAAAATGTAACATATTGCTTGACTTCAGACATTAAGCCAGAATAATGTCATCTGTCTGCAAAGCACTTATTATCCTAATTATTTTCACATCAGTAAATAGTACCTAATATATGAAAAAGATGCTTCTTCTTATTTAGATAAAATTTTAAATTAAATATTTTCCTAATGCTAAGGTGGACATTGTTACCTTCCAGGCTGGTATCCTACTTAATAAGGGAAATACACTTGAAGGTTTCAGGCTCATGTGAAAAGATCCCACAAGATCCTTGGACCCTTGCATATTTATTCCACAGCTTTCTATGAAGTCAATAATAAAGGTTCCCAAAGTGTATGTGTGAATGGAGTGAGTAGGATATACAATATTAAAGTTAATGTTTTTCTGTTTTTTTAAACAATAAAACAATTTTCCGATATGTTTTCAGTCTTTCCACCTGAGTCCCCTTTTATTCACTTTACTCCCATATCGCTTTCACCCCTTTCTCCCTGTGCCCTCCCACCAACCTTTCCTAGCTCCCTTCGCTCCTTGCTGGGTTCTCCAGGCGAATCTTCTCTCCCACCACCTCGCTTCTACCTCTGCGCTCACCTGTCGGCGCTAAGGGCAGTGAGAGTGAACACAGACACCCCCACGGAGGTGAGCTGGATGGCCGGGATCAGTTTGCAGCCCACCTTCCCGAACATCCACTCGTCGAAGAAGTAGCGCGAGGCGTCCACGGGCACGCAGGTGAGCAACAGCAGCAAGTCCCCAGCGGCCAGGTTAGAGATGAAAATGTTGGGGACGCTCCTCATGGCGCGGTTGGTGATGAAGATTTTCACCAGCATGATGTTGCCCAGCAAGCCCACCGTGATGATGAGCAGGTAGAGGGACGGGATCACACAACGGATCACCAGCTCCCCCGTGGTCCGGTCGGAGCCGGACAGAAAATCCCGGTCGGATCCCTCGGAAAGGAAACTGCTCTGATTCCCTCCCATGGTGTGGGCGAAGTTGGACAGAGACTTGCGGGGCATGGTGTCCTTCGCCTGAGATTCCGCTGGACTTTGCATGCGCCCAGGAGTCCGGAAAAGTGCAACGCGAGCGAGTTGGATTTAATTAATTTCCTTTCCGCCCTGGCAAGTTTTACAGCTCACAGGGAACGAGTCACACAGCTGCGTCCCAAATGGAGCAGGACCTGCTGCAAACTCTGTCCACGCTCTGGAGCTCCAATCTAGATTAGGTTATAATACTACTAGCTTGGGATTTATTTATTTAAGCAAAAAAAAGCAGAGCAGTTGCGTCTTCCTCCCGTTTGTGATGGTCCATTCCCTGCTATAGCAAGCGAAGAGCCCGCTGGAAAACGAAGCTCTCCCCCATGGGGTTGCTAGAAGTGCCTGGCTACTGCTGGAGCCCAGGGGCGGAAGTCATCCTGGCGCTGTCCAGCCGGTCGCGGCTGAACGCTGGGAACCTACGTGGGGAGCTGCCCACCTGTGCTCCCGCCGCTCTGCTCTTGTTTCCGCCTTTGCTGTAGTATTCTGTGGCACTGGAGGGGAGCTGAGTCCCCTCTCACACGGAGTCCCTGGATGCGTCCATCCCTCTGAGCGGGAGGAGCCCCACGCAAGAAGTTGGTGAACCCCTGAAGGTTGGAGATCCGAGTTGTCAAGTGTTCAACGCTGGAGCATTCAATTTAGGAAGCAAAAGAGTAACATAGGATAAAGGAAATGAAGCAAACCCTCGCTCCACTCTCTTTTAAATCTTATTTTCTTATCTTTTCTTACAAGACACATGATCAAAATCTACGGTAAATATTTATTTTTAAATTTTTATTACAGTAAAAGACATATTGCCATTAACCCCCTAAGAACACTTCTGACTTGATACACTCTTAGCCCATCATTCTTGACACTTTCCGAATCAGCTCTAGAAGTCCTCTTTCGTGAGTGTCTGTGCTAGATGTGGTCAAAAATATGGTGAAGGCTGCTGCCAAGTGTCATCCGATGAAAAGTCAGGCTCCCAGGAACGTTACAGTGCGTTATCCTTCACCCTGTTCTCTGGCTCTGGCACCATGAGGCTCCTGGCTCCTCTAAAGAGCAAAATGACCAAGACAGTCAAAAGTTTTAAATCAATTCAGGACATCAAAGCAGTCACAACAGCGCAACAATCTGTAAACTTTTACATGAAAGCAGACTTCCAGAACTGCTTCAGAGAGTGACAAGAGTAATCGTATGAGTGTGTTTGACAGGTGTTCAGAGGGGGGGTTAGTGTCAATGTACCTTTTACTGTAATAAACTTTTAAAATTTAAACATTAACTGTCTATCTTGATCACAGTGTATAGAAACTCCCACCTAGATGCAGTATACATTTTACTGAATAGCGCAGAGGAAGCACACAATTCCGACATTTATTGCTCAATCTTACTACCATTCACAATGAGCCATATAACCACTCACCTTCCAAGTAACCACTCTCCTGCCTGTTCTCATCATAACTCAGTTTGGTAGCTCTTGAAAATCATGTTATACATTCTAGTCTAGCTTCTTTCACTCAACATTGTATCTGTAAGAAATGCTCATGCTTTTTGGGTAGCATTTTTCATTTATTTTATAAAGATATTTGTGTCTATTATTCCAGTCTAATATTGATTCATATTTGATGCTTCAGAATTTTAGACAATTTAGATAAGGTTTCTATAAAGACTTCTTTACATGTCTTCTGGTGCATATTTTAATAAATCTCTGGTGGGAATTTTCTAGTCACAGTGATATGTTTACCTGTATAACTTCCACTGATAATTTCCACTACAGTAAGTTGCCAACTTTTTTCTTTTAGAAAATAGCTTCATAACATCTATTAATGCTAAATGGATGTATAGCTAGGACAAATGCCACTCCTGAGTATAAATTAAATAAAAATCTTATTTTACTTGAGAGAGGGTCCTATGTTTTGACCAGAATGTCCTAGAACTCCTAGGCTCAGGGAATTCTCCTAGCTCAGCCTCCTGAGTAGCACATGCAGACGTGTGCCATTGCACTAAGCTTGATACACCATTTTAAATAAGATGTGCCTAAGAGTAAATAATTTCCCCAATCTCCACCAGTTAAGTCTAAAGTAAATTGCTCAGAGATGTTTGCTCAGTTATTCAATTAGCTAAATAACATATTTTTAATTTTGAAAAATTAGCTCTTAATTATTAAAGAATAAGATTGTACAATAACATGGAAATTAGTCAAGCATCACCAGAATCCATAAGCAGATTAAAGGTATATATGTGCAAAATCACTGACACATGAAGCAACTTCTTCAGACATCAAGAATAACATTTTCTTTTATTTATTTATTTATGTATTTTGGTTTTTTTCCTGTACTGAGAATCGAACTCACGACCTTGCACTTGCCAGGCAGGCGCTGTGCCTCTGAGCTAAATCCCCAGTCCGAAGAAAAGCATTTTCTAATCATATTTGGATTAGACAAGCATTTCCAGTGTAATTAATTTTGCAACTCAGTTACAAATTCTTTTTGTACTTTTCTCAATTTTTACTACTTAAAATGATCCACTATATAGTAAAAATTGGCTAACTAGAATTTTCATGTACATGTATTTTAGTATGACTTTTATTTATATATTTTAAATATACACCAAAGAAATTAATTTTACATGTGAATTGAAATATGTGTCTAAAAATCTTATCTTCCAGGTTGACATTCTGTCTCATTATGCAATATAAGCTTCTAAAGCAGTCCTCTAAACTGTGAAAGTTCTTTTTCTTTTTTTTCCCCTCTATTGAAGATTGAACCCAGGGCCTTCACATAGAGCTTCATTCTAAGCCCTTTTTTAATTTTTATTTTGAGACAGGATCTCATTCAGTTGCTTAATTGCCCAGGCTGGGCTTGAATTCGATTCTCCTGCCTTAGCTCCCAAAAGTTCTGGTATTGCAGGTATGCCAGCTCAGTTCTCAATTTTTACACTGTGGTTATCTCAAGTTAATATATCTCACATAAAAACACTTTGAAATCTCAGTCACTGTATACATTTCTATATTCTCCTTTGCTCCTGTCTACATGATCTTGACCATTTAAATGTGAAAAGTGTTTAGTCCAAAAGCTAAATTAACAAATATCCAATTGGGTGGCATTGAAGAAATAAAGCAACTCTGTTGAATTGCTTTCAATTCAAGTAAATCTGTATGTATTTGTTCAAAGCTTAGAGTTCATGGCAATCGAGAGTGTAGTGGACATTTTTAATAATGACAATGTTATAATTAGTCGATGAAATTGTTATAAAATTATTACTTTGTAACAGAGCCATCACAGAATTACATATAAGAACATGAGTATTGACTTATTTTTAACACACATCAAAGATGAATATCTACTAAAGTGAAAAACATCTTTATTTTTTTTCAATGCACCATATGCTATTTAAGGTTCACATCTAACTTAATGTGTATAAACACTCTTTTAGGTAAGTATTTAAGTCAATTTTATGCATAATACAACTGACTCATAGAAGCTAGATAACTTACTTTCAAAAAGACTTCACTAAAGCCATATTCTAAGCTTACTGTAAATTCAGTGTCCTTTATACCTCACTGTTTCATTTTTAAAATTGTAAAGAAAAATGTAATTACTGTATAATTGAAGGTTATATTCTTCCTCTGGAAGTATTCAGTATTCAGAAAATATACAGCACATATTTTATTACCCTAATACAAAAAAAAACTATTGAGAACTATATTCTTGATGTTTTAGCTTTGTTGATATGACTATTATATGTGAAGGTGAGAAAATTGAAATTTAAACTCATTTCATAATCTTCATCTGCCCAAAAGTATCTTCCTTCAGGATATTATGAAGGAAAAGTCAAATATACACATAAAGATAGTCTATAGATTTCCCTAAGATCATGAACAAGATAGGGATATATATTATTTTTTGTTTTTGTTTTGGGTACTGGGGATTGAACTCAGGACCTTGTGCTTGCCAGGGAGGCACTTGTGCCGCTGAGCTATATCCCCAGCGCTAGGGATATGTACTGTTATCATTGCTGTTTAATGCCATAGGAATACTCCAAGCACTGCTCTCGCAACTTAAAAGAAATAAGAAGCATAAAGTTAGAAACAAAACAGATACCAATGCAAAACTATAGTATTAAAGACAATGAAATTGACAAATAATAGAATATCAATGGAAGAGACTAGAAAGTTTGAAAACAGTTGCAAGTAGGCTAGAAAATATAAAAAGTATGCTGCAACAAATCAACACAACAAAAACAGATTAATTAAAAGTAAATACTGGGGGAACCAGTTCATGTTGCAAGGTATAAAACTGGGTCTCTATGTAAAATCATATGTACTGTTAGAATTTCAGCTCTTTAAAGGCCAGTATGTAAAAAGTAGTCTAGGAAATATATTAGCTAGTGTATTTCAGTTCAAGGAGACAATGATTTCTCCTTTAAGTATTCATGAAATATCAGAAAAGAAAACATAAAAAGAATACAAAAAGCAAAATATATGAAGCAATAGCTTTTGAATTTTGAAGGAGACATAGCACAATACAGTAATCGCAGATAAGTAAACAGAAGCAAGGAGCTGTATGGTTATTCCCACTAACAGCTTAGAAAAAGAGTTTGCAGAGAAGAGACAAGGATAAGGAGGCCAGACAGAGCACAGCAGTCTCTCTGACTCATAGCATTGGAGCTGGTGTGTCAGGGAGCCCAAGATGTGTGAAACTGGCATGGCAGAGCACTTGAGAAAGAGAGCTGGGCAGAGTGGGAACTCTGGAGGTTCACAAACGGTTCCAAGTTACATTTTAAGCTAAGTACTTATTTATATATGCATGTGCAAAATTGATCCCATGTGCTAAAGAAGAAAAGGAAACAATTAGCATGTTCAGATTAGATATAGAAAGTATTTTTAAAATATATTTAATTTCTATAGAGGGAAGCATTATGATGAAACAAACTTTATATAAATAACAGTAAATAAAACATCACAGAGAAGAACATAGTGATTTTGCAGTAATAAAAACTATTCA